TTGTAATTATTATAAAAATAAATTCAATGACCAATATTTAGCTTAATTACCATAATAATTATTAGTCAATCTACATCTATCTATATAAATCTAATAAGAGTCAATAATGTTAGGTCCTTAACTGGTACAAAAAAATGTTGGCGTAATTGTTTCTTAAAATGAATGGTTCATATTATTTGGATTTTAGTATTTTTTTAAATGATTTTCTTTATTTACCCTCTATTATATTATGTTCTTCCCTTAAATAATCCTAAATTCCGTTAGTATAAACTTTAGTAATGAAATATTCCGTTAACTATTTATTATTCTTAACTTACTCATTAATTTTCATAAGAAATGTCTTAAGTTCGAACCCTATCCTAATTAGAGTTGGCATAATTGTTAAACATATACTACAAATATGTTGAAATGTATTTAAAAATATAATATAAAATTTAATATAAACTTTGGTCAAATAATTAGCCCGACTAAATACACAGCATTCAAAGTTGAACATCAAAGATTATAAATCAGTAAGTTCGAAAATCATTTGATTTTATTGCATTTTTTTTTTCAAAAAAAAAAAAGGTTAAGTTTTATTTTTCGTTTAATTAATATTTCAATTATGCCTTTGCATTATTTGAATGATTTAGGTCATTATGGTATTAATACTTTTTGTATGTATTTTTATAATGGTACAGTTGTACATTACTTTACAAATATTATACTATTATTTTTTTATCAGACAAAATTGTTCTTACATAATTGTCAAACCTGCGCGCCGCCCTAACTACAAAGTTGTTGATCATAAATACAATTACACATGGACTATAAAACGGTAGTACCATTTTTCAGAGAATTGACAATGTTGACATCTCACTTGCTCCAATTGAACAAGGTCATAGTACAACTAAGACCCTAAACATATACACAGCAAGCAAATCTAAAGCTTCCTACACCATAATCTCAATGCATGATGAATCCCTTTATGCTATCACCAGTAACTCAATTGCACATGACACACTATCAATAAAAAAAAAATGAAAAAAAAGGAGGACATGTACTGAAGATGAAGACAATGACAATGCTACCCAAAAGAGAATTAACAAGAATTAGAGAAATTTAAGTCAGAAATAGTATTTATTTAGATTATCACTTTTAGACTAAGTATTTAGACTAACATTATTACAAAGTTGCAAACATTTATTTTAGTGACAATTATAATCAATCTCTCATATATTATCTTGCATTTATATACTTTAAATTACTGATTTAAATAAACAAATTAAATATTTATTTAATTACTTATGCATGAACATCTCGTATATAATATTGCATTGATATATTTTAAAGTACTTATTTAAAATAATCAATGAGCATTATCTCATTCGCGCAAAGCGCGTAAAAAACTAATATATTATACTAATATATGTGCAATTATATTTTTATACCTAAAGTATATTCATTTTCACTATATCGCATTTAGTTTTTTCATCATCCTCCATATTTGAATGAAATAATTGTAATTATTATAAAAAAAATTCAACAACCCATGTTTAATTGTAATTGTACTAATATCCGTGTAATTATTAACTTAATTAACAAAATAATTATTAGATAATTATAGTAATATTGAGCATAATTCATTAAAACTATGAATCATTACCATTATTTTGAGTACAATTCATTCTTTAATATAATTTTAATTATTGTATGATATTTTGAGCATAAATCATTACTACATTATGAATATAAATCATTACAACTACAAATCATTATCATTATTTTATGCTTAAATCAATACAAATATTAATCTTTACTGTAATTTAAATATAAGATTGAAAATATATACAACTAAATTCGAATAAAATAAAATTATTACCGAAATACAAAACAAATAAATTTAAAAATATCTACAATATAAAGATATTCAATTAAATAAAACACTTCAATTGCATCTAATTAAAATAAATTCCACATATCAATTGTGAACTAGAAATTTTCATTTTATTTTATTAGCATATATATTTTCATTTTATATGAAATTTATTGTCATTCAAATTTTTAATTATTTTAATAGAATATATATTTTTCTTTTTTTTATGAATCCCATTACCATTTTTACTCTTAGTCAAATATTTTTTTTAATACATATCAATTAGTTTATACTATAATTATTAATATAATTATCGATATATATTCAGAATTTATATATTTCATGGCATTTTCAATCAAGTATTAATTATCATTTAATTTTTTAACTACCTAATTTTCATGTCGTTTTTATTCTTAGTCAATGATTCTTTTTAATACATATTAAATAGCTAATTATTAATAACTAGTAATATATATTCCATTCCATTTTTAATCAAGTATTAATTATCATGTTCTTTTCCAATTGACATAATTTCTATGTCATTTTTATTCTCAGTCAATGATTCTTTTTTAATACATATTAAGAGTTAATTACTGATTTGGTCCCTTGACTATGAGAGTTTCACCACTTTGGTCCTTGACTTTTAGAATTATCCAATTGCATCCTCGACTATGCAATTTATGACCGAGTTAGTCCATAGCCTAAACTGTCGTTTGCTTGACGTTAAAATTGAGGATAAAAATGTAATTTCATTGTCTAATTACATTCTCGTTTTCCTTTTTTGCTTTCCACCTCCGGCGGTGTTTGGTGGGTGATTTTGGGTCCATGGACTCCGGCACTTGGAGAGTTCGTCTAGTTCTTCCTCCGGCTGCCAGATATGTCTTCGTCTCGTCACCGGCGTGCAAGAAACTCTTGGAATGGTGGAAGCCGTGACTGGGTTTGCTCGCCGGATTTTCCATGGTGGTTGATAGAACCGTCAAAACAGGGTTAACCCGCCGGGCTAGCCCGTTCCGTCCCGCCAAAAGGGTGGGGCAGGCTCTAATTTGCAAAGTCCATTTTATAGCGGGTTTTTTAGCCCGCCCCGCCTAACCCGTCAGCCCGCCTAATTAAAAAAATAAAATAAAATAAATTGGTTTAAGTAGTCTTCCCGACCATTCCCCTCCCCACTTCCCCTTATAATTAATTCTTTCGGAATTCCCACTTCCCCACTTTCTTTTCCCTATTTAATACTTTAATCCCCTTACCAATTTCCTGTAATCCCCTTCCCAATTCCCCATTTCCCTTTCATTAATCCCTTTTCCCGTAATTCATTAATCCCTTCATAGTTCCCCAACCCCTTTCCCTCAGAATTCTTATATGGCTCTGTTTGGCAGAACTTATTTAGAGCTTATAGCTTATTTTAAACTACTAATAAGCTATATTTCTTAATCTCCTTAATTTCCCCTCGCCAAATCACACAAACAATCGCAAGCTGCTAAATGATGACGACGCTCTCATTCCCGACCCTTTCCCAGTTCACCATGCTAAATGACGACGACACTCTTTGAACATAGTTAAAAAAAAAAAAAAAAAAAAAAAAAAAAAAAAAAAAAAACTCGCGGGCCTAAGGGGGGGAGGGGCGGGCTGGCCCCTTTTAGGCCCACATTTTGGCGGGCTTTTTATCCCGCCTCGCTACAAGGGCAGGCTTTGGCGGGCCCCGCCCCGCCAACTTGCATTGACAGCTCTAGTGGTCGACGTTAGCTGACGGAGGAGCTGTGAATGGCTGACATCTGTCTTGGAGTCCGGCGCTCGGAGAATTCGTCTGGTTCTTCCTCTGGCTACCAGAGATGTGTTCGTCTTGTCGCCTGCGTGCAAGAAACTCTTGGAATGGTGGAAGTCGTGACTGGGTTTGCTCGCCAGATTCCCCATGCTAGTCAACGTTGGCAGACAAAGGAGCTGTGAATGGCCGACGGCTGTCTTGGAAATGGACATAACTAATCTGTTTTGGCGCCCGAAGTTTGGAGATGGTTTTGGGTAGCTCCACTCGTCTCTCTGATTACTGCAAGGGTAAAATAGGGCTCCACCCATCTCTCTGACTTTCTCTCCGTCAAAGACAATGATATTTGACCGCCACCGCTGACATGTTATCTTCTTCTTTACACTTTTCCAGTTTTATTTTCCTTGGAACTTCCTATTTTAACCTTGCATTTTGACAGTAAAACAGATTGAGGACATTTTGGTTAACGTTTCCATAGTCGATGATGCAATTGGACAATTTTGAAAGTCAAGGATCAAAGTGATGAAATCCTCATACTCGAGGGACCAAATCGGTAATTTGATAATTAACTCTACATATTAATTAGTTACTTATTAATAATAATTTTTTTTAAAAATATTTCTAGTAATATATTCCGTGTCATTTTTTAATTAAGTATTAATTATCATTTTCTTTTCCAATCGATATAAAGGACTAGCCTCCTTTTCTGGCTGAAGGCGACCAATTGGCCGACTTCCCTGTAGAAAACCACCAACTGGTCGCCTTCTCTTCTCATTGAGAGAAGGCGCCCAGTGGTCACCTTCCCTGGCAGAAGGCGAACAGTTCCACTGGAAATGGCGACTAACAACGGTCCGGCTATCGCCAGTCGTCAAATTTTTGCTGGAATAAAAATGGCCTGCAATTGCAGGTCATTTATGATTTACCTGTTCTTGGACCTAATTGTCTTAATATGACATTTTAAAGAGTGTAATTACACTTTTTTAGAGTTTAGAGGTTGACTTTTCAAGTAATGTTTATGAACTTATTTGACCTTTTTCCCATATTAATATAATAAATTTTGATCTACAATTCTTTACAAAGCTAATATAATAAATTTATAGATTATATTATATTATATTTAATAAGAGGATAGAGGATAAATGTTGATGATTGATATATATAATAGAATTTTCATAGGTTGTTAGGACATATAATTCTTGACTAAATTATTCCAAACGTTACGAAATAATTTTTACATGCTAAAAATTTCAAGTAACTCCTTAACTGTGATTAAATTTCAAGTTCCTTATACGAGACCTAGGTTACTAATAAGTCATACAAGAGTTATTGAAATGCTTTTGATTTGAGTAACTTTGAAGTAAAAGGCTGGAAAATGGAAATAAAGCTGCAAAAAAATTCCTCCTTTACCCCTTGAACAAAAAATATAAGTGCACTTACTCCACTATTTTTTCAACTGTACCAAACTACTCTGCAAAATGGTTATGTGCAAGTTAAAACGGTTAGGCTATGCACTAAAACTGAGCAACATTTTGGATGCAAAATTGGGAGCCAACCTTCGCGTATCCCTTTTTGAATGTTATCCACATAGCGAGCAGAAGAGAGCATAGCGAGCAGAAGAGAGCAGTGTTCGGCCATATTTTTCGTTGCTGTACCATCCTGATGAGCGAGCACTTTACTGCCTCACATCCATTCTCTTTCTCTGTTGATTTCTGTTTAGTATGAAAACAGTGGAATCGTGTCACTTATACGTCACATATTGAGACTAGAGACAATCTGATATAACAATGCAGTAGTATCCGTTCACATTCATGTTCTAAAATATTCTGATTGTTGAAAACCATAATGCAAGCAAATTTCAGCATCAATAGGAACATGGAAAAGTTGGTTTTACCTTTACGCAAACATAAACCCTTCCTTTGTCATTTTGAAGACGACCTTTTGAAGAGTTAAATCATGGTGAAAATTGGTTCCTAGTCGTCTCTGGGGATAATTGATTCTTTTCCATAATTCAGCTCAACTGGATGAGAAGTGTTGCTGCAGAAAGGAGAAACATTTATAAATTTTGATAAAGAAAAAACATAACTGATGAATGTTACTATGTTAGAATGGATAAATCGATCCATTTGTGTTTACAACCATAGATGCCAAACACTTACCTTTGCATAACTTTAAACATCCCCGTGCCCATCTGCATTGGTATGCCCATAATGATGCATTCACCGACTCCTTCAATTTTGTCGTCCCGCCCACTTACAGAAGCATTGAAAAGGTGATCAGCAGTCTTCTCAAAGGAGGCTAATGTCAATACACTGTCTTTCATCTTCTGAATACCAAATCTAGTAATTCCTAATACTTCACCCTGAAACGTTAAGAGTTATGAATGAATTGCAAGAACCCTTGTTATGTTAAACGGGAGAAACACTGAAAAGTATTCAAGTTTCTGGTATCCCTACCTTAGAAGTCATTAGATCTGCTAGAAGCATCATGTGACGTAAATCTATAGTCATTCCATGGCTTGACATGGTATACCTAATCTCTTTAATTATACGATTTCTTGCGGCTTCAATTCCAAGTACTTGATTCACTTCCATGATGTGATTGCTTTTTGTGTTATATCCATAAACTCCAGCTGTGCCCATAACAGCTAGAAGACCAGTCCTACAAAACATGACTAAATATTAGGGGAAACTAACTTTTATCATGAGAAGTAACATTCATATTAGTGGCCAGATACTCTTTCTCTGCCTTTTAACTGCCTAATAGATACTTGAACCAAATTTTGTTTCAAAGCAATCTCCCAAAATGAAAACCATATATATATATATATATATATATATATATATATATATATATATATATAGAGAGAGAGAGAGAGAGAGAGAGAGTAATAATCAAATGAGACCACCTCTTCCCGTGAATCCCGTGAGACTCTTCATAAATACACAAAAGCTACTACACGAATGCACACAGGCTACCCTGTGTGCATTCATGCAGTAGCTTCTGTGCATTTCCGAAGAGTCTCACGGGACTCACAGGAACAAGTGGATGCACTTGAATATATATTATGTAGCATCTTCCATAATAATCATCATCCCTATATGTGCAGCTTCTGTACTATATATAAAGCATTAGCCAATGTACCCCGACTTGGGAATCTAATTGCTAAACAGTTAAGCTAGAGAGGCAAATCATGGTTTCAGTCATATTCTTGATTAACCAAACCACCTCAAAAGGGTTCACTGAGGTTAATTTCTTCAGAATGCTTACTGTAATTTGCATGGAAACATGAAGTGACAAGCAGATAAAAGAAGGTTTATTAGAATATAGCAAAGTTAAGAAACTTGGTTTAGGTTGAATCACTTTGGAAATCCAAACTTTTTTCAAATACTATAATCCCAATCAAGCAGGCCAAAGCAGAACAGAAAAGAATCGTGTTCATAGAATAGAAGATACAGAATGCAAAACTGTCATTCAGTTATCCTTGGAAAGATGTTAATCAAGTGATTTGCATGTATGAAATAGACTCTGTAAGAAACACTAGAGAGGTTCTTTTCTAAGCAAAGATTAAACACACGACAAAGTACATCAGATAATATAACAATTGCTTGTAATTTGAAAGTTTCACTAGAAAAGGTAAATTGACAATACCCTTCCACAAGCAAGTTGTACTTCCCCGCATTCTTTCCCTTTTCTTTTTTGTTGATCACAGCACGTTCAACAGTGTCGATACCCTGGTGAGGAAAATAAAATAACTGTTGTGAATCCACACAATTGAGCAGATAAAGAAACCAGTCACTATAAAATAAAAATTTATGAAAATTCAAATTGTGCCATTGAATTACCTACCTTCACAACAACCCCAGGAAGCTTATTTTTGAGACGGTGGAGTTCAAAATGAAGTTTACTTCGATCAACATGAGGGATAACTTCCAGCTTTCTAGGATCTAAAACCTTGATGTGCTGAAGGAAAATGCATATTTTAACATTGAGCTGTCACAAGATGAATAGAAGAAACTTAAATGAAAGCATATCCTACCTGTTCCTTCAACTTCATTTTTTTAGTCTGCAAAATTGATTCCTTAACAATATAAGCATCTATGGAAAGAAATGAAGTTTGAATTGCTTCCTTATCAAGCACTATAACTATGGATGCTACTCTCGCAGCCATCACTATCTTAATACTCTTGGCAACCTACAAACAAAAATGAAGTAACAGATCAGCTTAGTAATAACCAACATACTAGCTAGGTGGTTGGAATTAGGAGTGTAAATGAGCCGAGTAGCTCGCGAGCGGCTCGGTCAAAGCTCGGCTCGAGTTCGGTCAAAATCGATCTCGAGCGGCTCGTTTAGTAATTGAGCTCGAGCCGAGCCTAGATATTCTAGGCTCGTGGCTCGTCGAGCCGCTCGCGAGCCATATAATATATAATATATATAATACATAATATATAATATAAATAATATATAAAAATAATAATTAGAAATTAAAATTTTAAACTCAAAATCCCTAAAAGATTTTTTATTATTTATGTATGGATAAAACAAAGTAGTTTGAATTTTAAATCAAAAGTATTAAATAGGTCAAATTCAATGTCAAAATCGAGCTCGAACTCGAGCTCAAGATCGAGCTCGAGTTCGAACTCGAATAATCGAGCAGCCCGAAAATTACCAAGCTCGAACTCGAGCATCAGTTCTCAAGCTCGATCGAGCTCGAGCTCGAACTCGAGTCGAACCTCCATTAACGAGCTCGACTCGGCTCGTTTACACCCCTAGTTGGAAATCTTCTCATGGAAAAAAAAAAAAAAATAATAATAATAATAATAAAGAAAGAGGGTCTATGCAGTAACATAGACAAAATATTGTTAAGGAGTCTGAACAAACTAACAATGGAATAAAACACATTAAGACTAGATAAGTTAATGTTATTTTCATTACCAACTAGAGGAAGGGGGGATCGAGATTATACAACGACACACACCAGAAACAGAATTTTAGAAAACCATTCTATGGAAGTTTAACATTATTGTTTCTTGGTGTTGTGTGTTTTATGGTAAAGAGCCTAAATTATTATCTTAAAACATCACCAGGGAACAAAACTAACAAAAAAGCATAGAGTGTCTCTAATGATAAAATAACTTTACTAAGGCTGTTGATAATACCAATAAGTAGTTAGAGAATCAATAGCTGCACTGTTGCATAGTTAATATTATTTAAAAGATGGAGAATAAGATGACTACCTGACCAAGAAGAGTTTTTTCGATACGACCCTTTACCATTCTACCAAAAGCTACATTATCATCACATGAAAGTTTTGCTTTAATAATAGGTGTGCTGATCTTTTTGGCTCCATTTATAATTTCTTTTATGCGAGGAACACCAAGTGTAACATCTGAAAAGGTGTTAAAGAAACATTCTAAAGAAAAAAAAAATACAATCATGACTGCTAATAACGATTCAGTGGGCCAAGAAACCAAATAAATTGGAGCAAAACCCAACACCAATTGAAACAAGGATACTCATGCTTGCAACACCAGCAAAGTGGAAAGTTTTTAATGTCATCTGCGTCCCTGGTTCTCCAATACTCTGAGCTCCTATTGCACCGATTGAAGTTCCGTCTTCCAATTTCTTTGCATGATAACGAGAGATGCAGGTCTCTAGGAAAACCTATGGCATTGCAAACACATCAAGCTGTTTTTGAGAATCAGGGCATATTGCCTCATAGCAAGCAACACATAAAACAGTGACCTTGTTACAGCTATACAAAAATAGATTAGCAGATAACAGCAAGCACCAATATCTACAAGCATAATTCTTTGGACACAGGATACAGAACAAAATGTATTATTCAAGTCCAGATAACCTTACATGATACTTTCGACCCAAAATCCAGAAGGCAGAATTCCAGATCGTCAGCAGGTAGATTTCATAAGCATTAGGGCATATAATTGATAAATTCAAAAGGCATAATGTTCAAAAGTAATAATAAGAATAATATGCTTCTTATTTGTTTCATAGGTTCCTGAAGAGTCTTGATTCTACTTTTTTTGAGTCCATCGTTGTTACATATGACTAAAAGAATAATATCACAACTAGTCTTAGATTTCCAATCTCTTCTGGTTACTTAAGTCCTTTAAGGAGTTCTCTACATATTTCGAGGGAAGATCACAGAAAATTAGTACCTATTTTCGATCTCTAGCCTTGATGACTATTATTTGCAGAAGGGAAGAATACTTGAAACGCAAAGAACACAAAATTGACAGAATTTTTTTTAAAGGCAATGAACCACATACTAATGAACATTCACTCTAGTGGATAATGTACCAAATTGCCTCAAATTGCAATATCAATGTAGAGTCAAATAATGAAATTAAAAGTTCAAAATAAAACCTTTTTGACACAAACAAAGGGAAGTGTCTCGTGAATGTAAAAATTGACCACGCATTAGAATGCAAGCTACTATGTTATTTTTTTTAACTAATATGTGAGCGAATGCTTCACTCTTAATTACTCCATATAAATTATACACCAAAGACACTAAATCTAATTTCATAAGACGTATTAATGTGTAGTAGTACCAATAACAATGTCCAATGACTAAATATCTTTTCCTGACACAAATATCTCCTGTCTAAAAACAGGTGTATTAAGCTCAGATGCATGCACTGAAAATGCAGAAGGCAGCCAAAAGTGCCCCATCAAAAAATAATGTTATTGAGCAAATAATTATATTATGTACATCACCTAGCTAGGCAAAAAATCTACAACCACATGGAATTTATGTTTGAAGTATGAAAGTGATACGCATCCAAAAGGATGGATAGTTTACTCACGCAGAAAAGGGAAGGATGCAAATCAGGTAAATCAGGATATATAAGGGAAAGCTTAACTCAAGGGTTTTGACAAATAATGAGAGGCATAATCATCTCAACAATCATCTCAGCAATCATCTCCTTTCTATAGTTATTTATTTTCTAGCACTATAAATAAGAATCTCTAGAAGAGAGCAGATCATCAAATCCTTTATCTTAGTCTTTGAAGCTCTAAGTAGCTGGGCAAGAGCTTAATACTCTTGTGGGGAAGGTCTTAGGACTTCCTGTTCTTTTTTTTTCTTAAGTTTCAGTCAAATAAAGCATACCTTTGTTCTTATCTCTAACAAATTGGTCCGACCTGCCGTTGAATGGCGAACACACGTGATTCCCGCATAGAGACGTTAGAGAAGAACCAGGATGCACTGCGTACTGAATTCACTACACTGACCGATCGATTTGCAGCCGTAGAAGCTTCTGTGGCTAGGATGTCCGACCTCCTCGCTCTCTCCATCCAAAGCAAAGGGCTGGGAGATGCCAGTGCGTCATCGGTAGCAGTCCCAACAATTGATTCCAACCCCTCGTCAGAACGATTGGCTCCTCCAGACAACACCACACTGCCCACAGGAAGATTGGAACTTCCTGCATTTGATGGTGTCGACCTGATCGGGTGGTTGGCTAGAGTGGAGCAATATTTCGCCATACATCACACCCGGGAAGATCTAAAGGTTCCGACAGCCTTTATCAGTATGCAAGGACCGGCTCTACACTGGCTACGGTGGCTACAACAACAAAATCCTACTCTAACATGGTCTCAGTTTACTCAAGACCTGTTAGAAGAGTTCGGTGAAGACCTACCGGGGCCACTGTTCGAGCAGCTTGCGGCTCTTCGCCAGATCGGAACAGTCGATGAGTATATCGCTAAGTTTCGAACTCGGATTGCCCAAACCACAGGACTTGCGACTCACATTCAACTGGGACTCTTTCTCAATGGGCTGAAACCGGCGATACGGGTGCGACTTCGACCGAATGACGTGATGGACCTTCGAACGGCGATGCGGGTGGCTCGCGCGGTAGAACGAGAGATTGACTTTGTTTCTACCGGTCGATTCCCTAGCCGCAGCGTGAATGAAGAAGAACGATCGTTCCAGAAGAGTTCTGCAACTACTGGGTCCAAAAGTCATGGGCAAAGCTACCAGGCAAATTCCTATTTAAAACATTCACAGCCCAAACCCATGTCGGCCCACTCTCAATATTTTACTAATAGCCAAATACCTCCCTCTGAAACGCAAACTTCATTCCACAAACCACAGGCTACTGGTTCTACACGCAGCTCTGGTTCGACATCATCACCAGCTCCGGCACGACGTTATTCAAATAGAGAATATTTAGACATGAGAGCGAAGGGACTCTGTTTCCGCTGTCAACAACCCTACAGCCCATTACATGTATGCCCGAATAAATCACTCAGAACATTAATCGCAGGTGAAGATGAAGACGGTGGAGGTGAAATCAATGATGGTGATATTGATCAATTTTTGGACGGAGACCCCACAACAGAAGTTGCGCAGCTTTCCTTGTTAGACCTTCCATTAACTGCCATGGGAGGGATTGATGGTCCTAAGACTATGAAGTTTCAGGGCCAAATTGCAGGTCTTGATATTCTTATAATGGTAGACAGTGGTGCAAGTCATAATTTCATCTCTCGTCGCTTGACCACCTTTCTGCAACATCCACTGGAACCAACCACGACCTTTGGAGTCCGATTGGGGGATGGTCGTCGCGCTGAATCAGACGGTAAATATTCTCAACTACATGTTGATTTGGGCCCCATTGCAATGCCGATCGATTGTTTTGTGTTTCCCTTGGGTGGAGTTGACTTGATTCTCGGCATAGCTTGGTTAGAGACACTAGGGGATGTTAAGGCAAATTGGGCAAAGCTGACAATGGGATTTACTATTGGCGATACACCGGTACAATTAGTTGGCGACCCATCTCTGGCTAGACTGCCTATTTCCCTCAATTCTTTGGATACAGACACTGCAAACTGCTGGTTATTGTGGGAGCTCTCTCTATCACCAAATATTCATGGTGCCCAGACTATTTCTGCAGTCCAACAAACTCAGTTGCAGAAACTACTACAGCAGCACCAACATATTTTCAGCGAACCAAAAGGGCTGCCTCCTTCCCGAGCGAATGACCACCAGATTACCTTGCAAACGGGTTCTTCTCCAGTAAGCGTTAAACCTTACCGTTATGGCCATAATCAGAAAAATGAAATTGAAAGATTAGTGGGTGACATGCTCACTGCGGGGATCATTCAGCCTAGCTCGTCCCCATTTTCGAGCCCGGTTTTACTGGTCAAAAAAAAGGATGGGAGTTGGCGATTCTGTGTCGACTATCGTGAACTTAACAAAGTCACGGTGCCAGATAAATACCCCATCCCAGTTATACAGGAGATGCTGGATGAGTTGTATGGTGCAAGATATTTTTCAAAGATTGATCTTCGCTCAGGGTATCATCAAATTCGGGTGGCTCCCAGTGACGTGGCTAAAACAGCGTTCCGCACACACTCTGGGCACTACGAGTTCTTAGTAATGCCGTTTGGCCTAACTAATGCATCGGCCACCTTTCAAGCGATCATGAATGACATTTTCCGGCCATACCTTCGCAAATTCATACTGGTTTTCTTCGATGATATTCTTGTGTATAGTTTGACTTGGGAAGACCATCTGCAACACTTAGAAGTGGCCTTGAGAACTCTGGATGTTCACCAACTGACCGCTAATGGAAAAAAATGCCAATTCAGCAGCCAAGCTGCTGTTGAATACTTAGGCCATGTTGTTTCTCAATTTGGGGTAGCAATGGATCCCTCTAAAGTCTCAAGTATTATTCGTTGGCCTGTCCCAAGGTCCATCAAGGCTGTTCGGGGTTTCCTAGGCCTCACAGGATATTACCGAAGGTTCATTAAAGACTATGGGAAGATAGCACAACCTCTCACGACCCTTTTAAAGAAGGACGCTGGGGACAAATTTGCTTGGACCGAGGCTGCAGACAAGGCTTTTGAGGCACTCAAGACAACTGTAACCACTTCTCCAGTTTTGGTCACACCAGATTTTTCACGACCATTCATCATTGAATGTGACGCCTCCGGAACCGGGATTGGCGCAGTATTGCACCAAGGACAACAGCCTATAGCTTATTTTAGCAAGGGGCTCTCGGGTCAGACATTGGCTAAATCTACTTATGAAAAGGAACTGATGGCCCTAGTTCTAGCAATTCAACATTGGAGGCCGTATCTCGTGGGGCGTCGATTTACAGTGCGGACGGACCATCGCAGCCTCCGCCACTTGTTACAACAACGCATCACCACACCTTCTCAACAAAACTGGGTGGCCAAGCTCATGGGGTATGACTTCGAAGTCGAGTACAAGCCAGGGAGGATAAATAATATAGCTGATGCCTTGTCCCGACAGAATGAAGAACTGGATCTATCAGCTATATCACTGCCCATTTGGATCGATTGGACAGAATTGGCTACATCCATTTCTACTGACCCCGAACTAAGCTCTATTGTTCAAGCACTACGTCATGACCCAAACAGCCGGCCTCCTTTTCAACTGCTTCAAGAGTGCTTATATTATAAAGGACGCATTGTTCTACCAACCACGTCATCTTGGATTCCTCGACTCTTGGAGGAATTTCATTCGACGCCAATGGGCGGACATTCCGGGGCTTATCGCACTTACCGCAGGCTTGCTGCTAGCATTTACTGGAAAGGAATGATGAAGCGAACGCAACAATTCGTAGCCGAATGCCTAGTGTGTCAAAAGAATAAGTATGACACAATGGCACCAGCAGGTTTACTCCAACCTCTGCCTATACCAATGACTGTTTGGGAAGACATTGCAATGGATTTTATCACCGGCCTCCCACGTTCCTGCGGGTTTGATTGTATATGGGTGGTCATAGACCGTTTCACCAAATACGCCCATTTTATAGGGCTAAAACACCCATTTACTGCCAAGTCTCTGGTTGGAATTTTTGCAAAGGAGATAGTTCGCTTACATGGAGTACCGAGATCAATAGTAAGTGATCGAGACCCAACTTTTCTGAGTACTTTCTGGACAGAATTTTTTGACAAATGGGGCACCAAGTTGCGTTTGAGCACTGCCTACCACCCTCAAACGGACGGCCAATCAGAAGTCCTCAATCGATGCCTGGAGCAGTATTTGCGATGTATGACTTCTGAACAACCAAAGCAATGGGGACGCTTCCTCCATTGGGCTGAATATTGGTACAACACTTCTTTTCAAAGTGCCGCTGGAATTACCCCATTTCAGGTTGTCTATGGAAGGCCCCCGCCAACCTTGAAGCAGTATTTACCGGGGGAATTCAAAGTTGAAGCAGTTGCCGAGGAGCACAATGATAGGAATGAAATGTTGAGACAGTTGCGCTACCATTTAGAGAAAGCTCAGAATAAGATGACCAAAGCTGCAAATGCCAAACGCCGTGAGCTCCAATTTTCTGAAGGGGACAAAGTTTTGTTGAAGCTTCGACCGCACCGTCAATCCACAATCCACCATCGCATTAACCAAAAAAAGTTGGCTCCCCGGTTCTACGGACCATTTACAATTCTCCAGAAATTTAGTGCAGTTTCCTACAAATTAGCACTGCCAGCTGCTGCAAAAGTCCACCCAATCTTTCATGTGTCACAACTAAGAAGGGTCACAGGAAATCATACTGCAGTCACTGACCTCCCTAAAGACATGGCAGTTACCGAACCAGGTTTTGCCCCTCAAGACATCTTGAATGCTCGGCAACAGAATGGGGTGCACCAGGTCTTGGTGCAATGGGAAGGCCGCCCTACAGACGATGCTACTTGGATGGACGTATCTGACTTCAACGGTCAGTTTCCTCACTCCAACCTTGAGGACAAGGTTGTTTCTTTGGTGGGTGGCAATGATACGCATCCAAAAGGATGGATAGTTTACTCACGCAGAAAAGGGAAGGATGCAAATCAGGCAAATCAGGATATATAAGGGAAAGCTTAACTCAAGGGTTTTGACAAATAATGAGAGGCATAATCATCTCAACAATCATCTCAGCAATCATCTCCTTTCTATAGTTATTTATTTTCTAGCACTATAAATAAGAATCTCTAGAAGAGAGCAGATCATCAAATCCTTTATCTTAGTCTTTGAAGCTCTAAGTAGCTGGGCAAGAGCTTAATACTCTTGTGGGGAAGGTCTTAGGACTTCCTGTTCTTTTTTTTTCTTAAGTTTCAGTCAAATAAAGCATACCTTTGTTCTTATCTCTAACAGAAAGCAACTTTGACAAACCTAAAGGATAATGATCATCATTCAACTTCAAATGCATTAAAGCTAGGGGCTATCTTTGAAAATATATAATACACATTATGCTAACTGTAAGAGTCCGACATTGATAAAATAAGAGAGAACATATGGGTTCATAAGGCCATGGGTTAGACTAGCTAATTGGTTGGATTCAATCTTTTAGTGTGATTTGGCCCACATGCATTATAGCCCAGTTGAGTGACCCTAGCCCAATCTTAGTTTATAACACTAACAAACATGGTATATTGGTGAAAAATATACCTGTAGTTGCTTTCTTGTTACACCTGATATATTTAAAGTGATACTTTCAAGAGCATCAAGATCCTCCCCTGCATTATGTTCCCCATCAAGTTTCAGATCTTTCCGTGTTTTCTCTAAGCTTGCTACACAGTTGTTTTCAATGAATTCTTCTAATGATTTGCAGAAGGCATTTGAGCACCCCCCATCTGGAGTCATATCATGTTCTGAAAGCCTTTTATGCATCACCTGTTGGATTTCTGATGATGACAGACTCTTTTCCTCTCCGGGAGGACATGTTGCCTGTCAAAATAAATGAATCAAGATTGCACTCAACCTGGAAATATATGTAATTGAGAAGAGATCATAAAAATTGAAGCTTCTACCTTAACTTTCATAAATAATCTATTAAAGTTCAGAGGATGCCCTTTTTTCTCTTCCATCTGTGCAGGGTCCATACCATCATCACCATACTCAAATTGTACTATGCATGAACTTGCATTTCGCACGGTTCTGTCGTACAAAATTGAAAGATCCTCCAGAGCCTTCATAAGCCTCCGAGACATATACCCTGTGTCAGCAGTTTTAACCTGTATAAATAAGAAAGTTTGAAAATGATTAAATATCGGGCTAGATGTTTAGTAGGGTAAAACATAATCCGTCAATTTTTTTTTTTAAATGAGATTAATACAAATTAGCATCATTAACTACTGAAATAAGACAATGATTAAAAGCATTACCGCTGTGTCTACAAGGCCTTCTCTTCCACCCATAGTGTGGAAAAAAAACTCAGTAGCACTTAAACCATCATAAAATGAACTGGCGACGAATCCTTTAGCCTGAATGTACAATCATATGGATAAAATTCAGAACTAAAACTATCATATGTAATTGATGTTAGACTATACATTGTTATGTACATTCAGCTTAATCTTCACATAAGTACATAACAAAAAGAAAGATAAACATGATCATATTAAATGAATTCAGATCAAATAATTTAGGAGGGTTTGAAGCCTATTCAGTGTTTCCATTTAAATGAACTAAATTCTCAGTGCAGGCTGGCATCCTCAAATTTAAGGTAAAAAAAAACAGCAGAATGTCAAAAGCAAATCCTCTCAACTCAAATTGCAATCCAAGCAATTAACTCTTTTGGATAAAGAAAAAGATGATGAAAGACCATGTGTTGATCTAATGATAAGTCCAAGATCATATTCTGTACCCAGTAAAACCTACCACATTAAATCCACAATAGCTTTGTATCACAAGTGCAACCTTTGAACTTCGACCCTCACCTATCTATCCACTTTAACCTTTCACCTATATATAGCTCATAATATATTCATATAAAAAAATTAAAAAAAAAAGTGTATCATTCTCAGAATCTCAGGACGTATGTATAATGTATTATAACATTATTAATATAATCAATATCAAGGTTATCAAGGCGGACTTTCTAGGCGAGATGCCACCGACTGCCTAGTCGACTAGTCGACTAGGCGACCGCCTAGGCGATGAGTATTAAATAAATAAGAAAGTATATATATATTGAAAATATCTTGTCTTGGGCAGCCTTTTTGCTGACTTATTTACTTAAGTAGATGAATAATCTTTCCTAGGATAGTGAGAAGTCAAGTATTTATTGTCTATTGAAAATATCTGTCTTGGGAAGTCTTTTTATAACCCTATTTACTTCAAGTCTTCTTGAGAAGATGAATAGTTTTTCCTAGGGTGGTGAGAAGTCTAGTATTTATCGATAACATGCTAGAGTGAGGTAGTGGGCTTTGCTCAGAACAGGAGGACGACGCCGGAGCTTTAACCGCGCCGCCATCAGAGCCACCACGCGCCGCCGCTCCGACGCCACGTGCCGGCGCGTGAGGCAGATTCCGGCAACTTCTCCGGCTGAAAATTACACCGGTCAACTCGCCTTAGTGTGTAGGTTCAACCCATGTATGTTTTATGGAGTTTTGGGTTGTATTCTGCACTTAGGCGAGGCGAGCCCATTAGGCGTTCGGTCTCGACCGACCGGACGCCTAGGCGTCGACTAGGCGACACCTTGATAACACTGATCAATATGTTCATTCTTTCTCTGGTTTTCATATCTTAACTTTTGCTTCACTGTTTGGTGGTGGTTATTCGCCATCCACTGCGCCCTGAATCCCTTAATTTAAATATTATAAGCAGAAATGAGAAATTTACATATATGTTCATCTTTTTTTTCACACTCGAAATCCGAATTAAACTCTAATATACCCACAAGCAATCAACTTTTGAAATTGCGGTTGTCCATTCAACTATTCAGTAACAATCAGGATCAACCCTGACTTTGCTAGCAACAAAAGAGCTCACTTTAACTCGATCTTTATTTTTGGTACCAACATGAAAATAACAAGCACCAAGTTGATATGGTGTTCTAGTTAAACATAGTACCAGAATTAGGATTTGACAGTCTACCATTTAGAAAGCCAATATAACATTTTTAAAAAAACGTAAAGAACTTACCGCTGGAAATTTTGATTTTATAGGAAAATGAGGAAGACTCCGATCCATGAATCCATTTGGAGCACGACAACCCCCAACAGATTGCTGGCCGACACATGCAACCATCTGACTAATATTGAGATCTGAGCCTTTTGAACCACATTGATACATAATTAAGGGGCTATTCCTCCAATGTAGTGTATCAGTGCACACCTGCACAAAAAGGGTTTAAAAGGCTACTATACCTATTTCCTCATAACACAAGCAAACTCAGAAAACATATACACACTATTTGGCTTATAGAGTCTTTGCCTTTTAAAAGGTTGAACTTTTAGAATAGAGAGAAGCAGCGCCAAATTACCAGTTGCCCAACCTCAAATTTGAGAAATTATATTTAATATTTTGAAATTTTCATTACAAATTAGAAAATATTAGAGTGTATTTAGTAAACGGAAATTTTTCCATCTTTTTTTTTCTTGGAAAAATGGAATACAGAATTTTATTTGGTTCAAAATCAACAATTTTCAGAATTAGGAAATGGAAATTTAAAAAATGGTCTTCCAACATAACAAAGGAATTTGGAAAACACTTTTTCATGTTTTCTAAAATTTCAAATACAAATGTATTCGAAATTTCACTGGTAATTTACCATCTTCTTACCTATGAACTTCAACCTCACATATTTATCTAACCCAGTAAATGAATTTTAAAAAACTACCACGTTTACATATTAATTTGAGGCAATGGGTTAGACTAGCCCAATTGATGACCTTAGCCCAATCTTAGTTTATAAGAATACGGTTATATATTAACACACATGATAACAATAAGTCTGACAAGCTAGACCTAAATTTATGTTATTTTTCAATTGCCATAATTTTAGGCTCAATTTAACAGTGATCTAATATTTTCAGATCAGATAATAATGTAATTAATCTTCTAGATGCAAGTATACAACTATATTGTGTACTAGATACCCAAAAGGTTCCATTCCAATGCCCTAGCTGTTACTGTACCTATCAATAGGATCTGTAGTTCTAAATAGCAAATTATGTTGTCATTAAATGGACACAGATCTAACTGGGAAAAGCTGAGTCTAAAACTTTGAAATGTTATCCAGGTGACTAAAGGTTAAACCAGAAAGCTAAAGGAAAAATAATGCCATGTTAATGGCAGGATCAGTAGCTTTGAATAGTTATAATATAACTTATAAATGGCCACTGTGCATTCTCTTTCTTTCTACAGTAGTTAGGATGAGGATGGTTCCATCAAAGCACAGACAAAATGATTGCAAAAAGATCTTACTCGCCCAGTTTTCACTCGGATACCATTCAGTTCCTTTGTTATATTGGCTTCAAGTGTCTGTGCAGCATCACATCCAGGTTGTAGCTCAAGTTCCCCCTTGTTAAATGAAGCTATATACGTTTCACATGTCCCATACCCCTTCTCTATTTCCATTGTCTTCTTTTCAACTAACTCCTTTCTTGGTTGCACATCATCTATGCCAATTGAAAATCCATGATTCCCTATCCAACGAGCACTGTCATAATGCAACAGCAGGAATTGTGCGAAGATAAATAACCTTTTCAGTTAATTGAATATAGCAAGATATAATGAAATCAAAGTAACGATTGAACAAGTACCATTAAAAAAAAAAAAAAAAACTACTTAACAGAAAACGCATATCAAACTCTATCCATCCATCATTAAATTTATATCATGAAGTGAAATTTCACACATAACCCAGGTCTCATAATCAATACTTCCTAAATTTCAGCCATCCTGAAAAAGAGTCTGCTCTAGTTTGGAAAAAGTAACCACTCTTTTTACCTTAATTATTATCTAACTTAAATACTAACATGAAAAGAAATAGTTGGTGATAACTGCAAAACAGTTTCAGTGAGAAACAACTATTTAGTGTGCTCAAATGTACAATAGCAAAGATAAGAATATGGAGTAATTAGACAGGTTACGTCCAAATGACAAGAAACTATATAGAGTTGTGAGTTGACCTTTATCACGACTTATTAAACAACTTTAATTGAATACATTTAATGACCATTTGACTAAAACAAACCGATTGAAGGTGACAGTTATATCATCTGGTGGTTTAGCAGAAGAAAAAATGGTTCAAATAAATACACTTAAGTAATGCAGGGGCCAAATAAATACGGATGAGCAAAAGAATCCAACACTATGTGTTGAAGCAAGTTTGGTGGACTACAAAAGAATGAAACGACACAAATTTAGAATGAAAAATCCGTGACAAAACTTGCAATGAGAAAAAAGAAAAGATATGAAGTGCATAGGAAACAAATCTCATCAAAAGGACATGTATAGATGTGCAAATATGCAAGGAAAACGCTGAGATGCTGTTAGAAATGCCATAAACATACCTCAACTTTGCAAGCCGATTCATACATATTGCAGCACCATGTGTGTTATAGTCCCTTAGCAGCACAGAATAAAGTCCATCCTTGTTTCCATTTCCTATTGCCCATTTCACAAAATACACATTCATAGTTTAAGTTAATTTTTTCCCTATTTAACAACTAGAATAATGAACATTTCAATGACTACCTTCTCGATATTGTTGACATAAATGGTCATTAAGACTAATTCTCATTTTTATTTTTCATAAACACAATAAGCTGGTGCTTACAGCACTGACCACAATTATGCAATGGGCTTTACCTATGACTTAACTCCTTACTTCAAAATGAAGTAAAAAGTAAAATGGTGACATACAAAATTTCAGACCAACATAATTGTGGTCAACATCTGCCATATTTAGATAATTATCCAGTATCTAGATAGCATTTCCTATAAATCATGATGTGTATTTAGAACTTTTAAAGCTTGAGAATTAGGAAACAAAATACAGTTGCATTGGGATAAAATAGAGAACAAACAAATGTGAATCTGTAGTAATCAATACAAATTATTATTTAGAATAAAATTTTCAATAGCCATGCATAAAATTACTTGGTTTAAAAAAAATTGTTAAGTCAGATAAAGAAAAAATCAAGATCAGTAGAAACTATTTATACAGAACAACAAATAACTTAATGTTAAAAACAATAGTATATATATATATAAAGGGATGAAGAGAAGATGAAGAAGATATATTGGCATTGAAGATAAAACAATACTTGGTGAAACTATAAGCTTCCAGTGGAAGAAGAAAAAATATAAATGAGCAATATTCAATATCATAAACAGTAATGAATACAAACTTGAATGCATGAAAAAAAAAAAGGACACCATTAACCCAAAAAAGTAATATAAGATTAGTATAGAATAAAAAGTTAGAAATTCACCTAGTGTGGCCTTTCCAAGTTGCCCACTTATCAGCTCACTGTTGCGGAAGTAAACAAACCCATCACTTGGGCACATTGTTTCTAGATCTCCTTTTTTCGGGTAACACTTCTCCTTAAGAGTAAGGGTTAAGTAGACTCTCATTTTACTATATGGACGTAGAAGCACACCAAATAACTGTTTTCCAGTCCAAAGCTCAACTGGCTGCAAAAGCAACAAAACTAATTTTATTGTCTTTTTTCTAAATTTGAAAACAAATTAACCCCTAAGAATGGGATAAGGAAGAGAGCAATAATATAGAAATGCATTTCATTCTAGAAACTTGATCAAACAAGAATTATGGAGTTCATGAACCAACCTTAATTAAAGCTGGAGTTGGCAAATCAATGTGATCCATCGCATCGCCCATGTATGAACACATAAGTGAAAACGAAGCACGATCATAAAATGTGTCCTTCCTTGTAATGAGAAATGAAGATGTTAGAAAATCCTGTGTAGAAGCAACCAAGATTTCTCCATTCTTTGGGGTGCATAAATTGTTTTGGACCTGCATTACCATCAGCAGTATGTTAAAACAATGGCAGAGTATTAGGAGATAATGTTGCCATATTTAACAATTTTCCTGTTGGTCTATTTCATATTGAAGAGTGACATATATAACTAGTTTCATGATCTCATGCTGATTAAAATAACATGTAAAGCAGTATTGGAAATTGGAATCCAAAAATATATTGGATATAAAGGTTATGAGTTTATCCAAATGAAGGCAATTGAACAGTTCACAAAATACTTGGCAAATAAAACACAAACAAGAAAAACTTATGACAAAGAACAAATCAACTCTTCCCATAAGGTATGGAAACCATTGCAATATTAGCCAGGGCTGAGAAAAGGAGACTGAAACTATTTGATCAAACAGCGGACACCAAAACATATATCTGTAGCCACATAAGAATGTACTGAACACTGATTGACTGAACATTTTACCCCCATCAACAAAAGAGCCTCTGTGCGAGCCTCTACTGTTTGTGGTACATGCATATTCATCTCATCACCATCAAAATCAGCATTGTAGGGATTGCAAACAGATTCATTAAATCTCAATGTGCGCCATGGCATAATCCTTGCCTACACCCAAAGAAAATGTTAATATCAACATAATTAGACACTAAAACAATTTTTTGAGTAATCACTCACCCGATGGCACATGATAGACATTCGATGTAAACTTGGTTGTCTATTAAATAGAACAGCATCTCCATCTTCCAAATGACGATCAACTATGTAGCCATATTTCAATTCATCAGCATGACGCTTTCTACTAGAGTACATTAACGAACTGCAAAATTGCAAATGAACCAAAAAAATTTAAAAATCATCATATACAAATAGGATGGAGAAGAAATTGGAATTTACAATCCTACTTACATCTCGGTACCATCAGGATGCTTGATATACTTCGCACCAGGGTATTTGTTGGGCCCATTGCGAACACATTGCCTCAACTTCTCTATGTTGTGTCGTGAAACACGCTCAGGAAATGTTAAAATTCGAGCCATTAAGATAGGAATTGCTACCTGCAAATTCTATCATCATTTTCTATTTCTTTTTGTTGAACAGAGTGGTAAAACCATGGTAAAACACAATACCTCAGTGATTTTAAGATTTGGATCAGGTGAAATAACAGTGCGTCCAGTATATTCAACACGCTTGCCTGACAGATTTCCACGGAAACGACCTTGCTTTCCTTTGAGGCGCTGAACAAAGCCACTCAGTGGCCTGGAAGCTTGCATTTGTGGTGGCAATCCACGTACATCACTATTTATGTACTGTGCAACTTCCATTTGGAGATCAACCCAGCTAGCCTGACACAATTTTAAAACTTAAATAGGGCTAAAGGAGCAAAAGAATAAAATAAAATAATAAAATAATGTCTCCACCTGGATACAAAGAAACTCTATTTGTCAATTGTCATGGAGATGCATGGCTTGGTTTTTATTAATGACAAAAATGAAAAGATTAGCTATAGTGCAAGATAATCTTAGATAACTTAAGAAAACAAAGGGAATCACATTCCATCAAGAGAAGGGAAAAGGCTGATGTGGTAGGCATATCAGATTCCCTTGGATTATCACATAACATGAACCAAACAACACCTGTTATGTACTTATGTAACATCCCAACATAACATTACCTTGGTAATCTCAAATTACCTGAACCAAATGCCCCCTAAAAGATCAGAAAACATGGACTAGCAGATCCATTAACTAAAACTTCATACTCTGATTTAACTACAGAAACTATATAGGAGCACACCAATCCAACATGAACACATTGTATACAATTTTTTTCTTTTAGATTTAAGTATCTTATTTACACCAACTCACCAAGATGGTGCTACAAGTGCTTTATAAAAAGGTCAAATCTGAGAGAAGCTTCTACAGTCCAATAAATCCCATACTGTCTACATGCATGTCTCTGAATTAAAAATAAAATAATATATTCAACTATACTCCAATCTTTGCACAGAGTCAATAACCCTTTAAACACCATTTGTTACTTTCCACACTAACAATCCCATATGTTTAGAAGGACTGTGTCCAAAGTCTTTCATTTGCTTATGAATTTCTCAAATTTGTACAAAGAATGCAGTGATTGCAGTCCATTAACTCAATCCATATTAAATATAAAATGATACAAAATATCCATGGTCTCACAATATGCTTGAATAGATAGTTGAGAGATTCATCTACTAAAATGTAGCAAAGATTCTCTTGTTCTAGTACACCTACTGTGAGAATATGAGAAGAGCTCATCAAAATAATATCATACCAGACTTCTAGCTGGAAGAGTTGTATCGGAAATTTCTTGTCGAAGACTTGAATTTGCTTGGATAATGCGCTTCAGCCTCTCTGTGATGTCATTCTCATTACTGCAACAAAAATACCCAGGATCTCAACTAACCATGTAATGCGAAGGAATAAAATGTAGTATAGCAATAGCACATTTTAATGCTAAAGAATGTTTTAAAAAAAAACAAAAAAACACAAAAACAAAAAAAAAAAACCCAAGACAATCATGATTGCTGGATAGTCCATCTTTTACTGGTATAAGAAGCCAATAGTTTAGTGTATTGACAAAAAAGATGTGAGGTTCAGAAATGCACAGACCAGTGCCTGCCTACTGCCTGGTACTGGAACAAAATTTGCAAAAGAAATATTTTCTTACCTATCTCTCTTACCAGTAGCATTAGTCTATTATGTTATTGTATTTAAAGGTGATTCTGATGACTTATGACTTCCGCAAAAGTTTCCACCTAGTCTAAAATAACATTCCGACAATGTATGTTGACTTAACAAAATTTGTAGAAAACTTAAAGAAGAGTCAACAGCATTTGCTCCAAGATTTTTATATCTAGTAGTTGTTGCAATGCAGAAATTAATTTATATACCCTTACATAATGCTTTGGCATGATTACATGAGGCATTTATTCCCTCAACCAGAGTCGCATGACAACAAAGGCCAAATCCTGAATAATGCACACAATTACACTTGAGCCAGACATACCTCTGCATTCCACCATCCACAAAGACAGAAGGGCGTATTGCTATTGGTGGCACAGGGATACTTGTGACAAGGAGTTTTTCTGGTTTGTCACTAAGATAAAGCAACTCACAGTCCTGCACATCAGAAGGAAATAGGAGGAATTAGAATGTGGAAACAGAGAGGAAGAGCCTACAGACATAATACTAACTGTGACCTAAATCAAATGTCCAATGTTATTTTATTTTTATGTGATAAGTTCATGTCAGAATTCAACTTCTGAAATGTAGTTTAAATTAGCTGTTGCTTAACCATGTGTAAAAAATTGTTGGCCCACACTTCATTTTCATTTAATGGATTGAAAAGTGTAAAGGCCTAAAGGATGTTCACTGTTCAGGAAAGGGAAATACACGCTAGAGCTAAACCTTAAAGGCAAGAAATTTCTGGTCCACACTTAAAAATCTTCTAAAGGATTGAAAACAAGGAAGGGTAACACCAGCAAACTCAAACTTTTGTCTTACAACTTCAGTGTAATGAAATGTTAAACTTTATCTTTCAAAAAAAAAAATGTTAAACTTTATTTCGCAAAATGTGGATACTATTTTGGAACAAACCGAACAGAAAACAAGGTTATTTAACTCAAGAGAAGGTAGAAGAAAATTTTTGTATAGCAATCTAGATTGGAGGCATTTTTGTGAATGAAAATTTACTTTAAAAAATACAAAAGAAACAAGTAAATGCCTATCTAAACAATTTATTCAGATGAAATTTTTAATATTAAATTACTAAACTCAATTCAAGCCAGGTATCGCTAGGGAGATTTTGATCATTGGAAAATGAAACTTCTACTGAGATTCACACTCAATGTTAACATGGGAAGACAAGATTGGTTACATGGCATAGAAGTTCATGCAACAAATCCTGTCCCGCCATGTCAATAGTGAGTGCAAATCTGGGTGCATGTAGCATAGAATTAGATTATCATGACACTTTTATTAACTTTTTGAGTGTTCTTGGATTCCAATTAACCCTAGAAGACTGTCTCTTCAATATTATTCCATTCTCTTCCTTAATTCCCAGTTCACTGCTTAATAATACTTCCCTTCCTAGTTCATGCACCCTACTGCACAAATTTTGGCATTTTGCACTAACCATAAGCATTCATCTTCAAATGATACATGCACAATTTTCTAGAAGTTCTTAAAACAGATTAAAACAAACCATCCTTTAGGTGTTCACACTTCACGGGTAGTAATTAAAAATAAAATTTGTAAATGAGAAGTAGAAAATGAAAGGAACATGTGTGATTTTACTATGTAACTATTGATATAAACAAAGCACTACCTCATCTATCATTTTCTTGAAGAGGGCGTGAACTGTCTTCGAGTCAAGTTCTGGAGGCACAGTAATAGATCCCTTGACTTTGTTAGAAACAGCATTATGGCACTCATCTAAAAACTGACTTCCATATTCATGGATGATCTTCAAAGGACCCTTTTTCACCATTCCTAGAATAGATAATCATTACACTTGACTCAATAACAGCTCATTCAAAAAGTCAACAATACTTCTTGAAAAGGTAAACATATCTAAATTTTATTTCATTCCATTTTGATTATCAAATACTTTGTTATGGCTAACATCACTCGACTAATAATGAAGCTACAAAATGGGTCCAACAATGAAATCACAAAAAAGTGAAAGTTGGAAGTGGGACCAACTTCAATATTACATGTCTTTGACGTCAAGGATACAAAAGCATAAATTCCAAAAATTACATTTCACTTTTTCATTTGGTTTGATATTCTCCCTTTACAGCCTAAACACCTTGGTAAAGTTATTGTTGAAGTTTCATCTAAGTAAACGATCTTAGCCTTTATATTGACAAAAAATTACTCTACAGAAAAGAATAGGCAAAGAAAATCATGAATTAAGGCTCATGGAATTGGAGGATTTGCAGATTCTTTATTGTGTGTGTGAGCAGGTGTAATAGGAAAATAATTCTATCCACCACATAGTCATAGAGGCACAGAGAAGTTAATAAACCATTTACGCATCCACATCTGGAACAAATCACTGCCTTGCGACCACTTGTCATGGCAGTGCACCTTTTCACAACTCTTTTGAACAACTCATTCTTTTTCAAATGCTCCAACTTTGTATTTCTCATCTTTCTTAGGAAGTCTAGACGTTCTTTTTCACCAAGAAGAATGCGGGAACAACCCTGTAAAAATAAAATGGGAAGAATGAATGTAAGACAATTTGAAGTCAGAGATCAAGTTGTAAAAATTTGCAAACCATTTTCTCTTGCATCAGATAAAGCATCATGAAAGAGAGTCTACCCTGATGTTTGTTTGAGATTCATAGCACAAAAATGAAAACAGCCATAAAAATAGTAGTTAATCTTCAAACTCTTTAGTAGCATAGTTCCAACCATGATCATTCACCAACTGTTAATCATGTTCAACCTCCTCATTAATATCCTACTCTCTTTTAAATAGTTATCCCAATTAAACAAACTCAATAGATAACATGTATTCCTCTTCCTGAAAGTTGACACCCTCCGACACAAACAAATCACGAATCGTGGCTTCCTGAATTATTCTTAAATATTGCAACTGCATTCCTACAAGTCACATTCAACATATTGTGCCGTATATTCTCTAATCTATGGGGTCTTTAAGATGATATAAATAAGAACCATGAAGCTCATGAATAAAGAGCTGTGTGCTTAATATACATGTCTCTCTTTGTGTATGTATACACACACACACATCTAAGTTTCAAACCCTAAATAAAGATTGAGATAGCACTTCAATGGGACTTTAAATCTGGAAAATCAGACGTTACTAATACAATAGAATCTAATTCATACATCAGAAAATGTTGAATAATTTCCAGACATATACCAACAACTAAATAAATAAAGAGAGAAAGGAATACACATAATGGGAATTTACAATTGAGCACTCCTAAATCCAATGTTATTAAAACCAGACTGAACTGCAGTTAAAGAGAAAAATGGTTCACTTTTTGTCAAATACCAACTATGCAATCCACCCATTTGACCCACAGGTAAACTGCAAAAGTTATATAACACCAGCAGTTTTTAAACTTTTTATCCAACCCAAAGGTTTGAACCATAATTTTAATATTCATGGGTTAATGGGTAGTTCAGTTTTAATAAAACTGCCTGCACCGAACATCAAAAACTGTAAAATTTCCTTTGGACAATAACACCAGAACTAGTGCTCCATAACCAAGTACCTTGCAAATGCATTTCAAGATGTCGATAATGATGGGTAGATATCCAACATTAAAAACTGGTAAAGCAAGATTCAAGTATCCATAGTGACCAGGACATTCTTTGAAATCTCCATTGCATGTGGCACAAGATTTGGTCTTGTTTGGAGGGCCCTGAAACAGCGAAACCCAAAGTTCTGTGAGTTATCTATAATCAAGTGGTTTGCAAGACTTGCTCTGCCCAAACAATGGTAGGCAAGATATAATGGACATAAATGAGAGGCAGTCATTCTAAAACATTTAACCATTGTTTCCACTGTCAGTTTGTCAAATTTGTTTCCATTCCAATGATCTATGACGAATACCATAAATTTATTCTTATTCACTTCTCAAAATGAATATAGAGATGGTGTAAAATGCAGGTAAAGTGATATAGATTAAGATCAGTAATGTCAAAAATGGTTAAGAACATAATTTTACAAAAAAATAAAAGATTTATTCAAGCATTTCATGCTAATGAATCAAAAGGAATGCCAACTGAACCCAGTCATATTTCACTACAATCTTTATTATCATCCATCCTCTTAATCAAATATTAGCACTCCAAGTTTACTCGGCCTTCATGTGCCCACCTACATTCATGTTTTACTTTGTCCCCAAAAATCTGCCCAGTCAGTGTATGGCTCTAAATCTACTACCTACCATTTTACAAATCATAGAGAACTCCATGTCTCATCAAAGCAATAAATAAAGAATACAAACAGCTATGGAGGTCGATAGAAGATGAAGTACAAATTGAAGAAACCCACAACAGTTATAATGAATAGGACTTAACAATTTATTATTTTATATAAGGAAAACAATTGGCTCCATTAGCTATCAATCTTAAAAAGTTGCATTGAGGACTTTTTAATAATGCATCCAAGTCAAATTGTAAAAAGCTTTTAATCGAAACAAATGCTAATAGTTTTGTTTTGAAGCTTACTTCCCATAATTCAAACTTACACAATGCATTCCTATACTTATCACAAAAGAAAGCATTACCATGCGAGGGTCTAATAGGCCATTGGGAATAGGATTCTTGGAAGCATCATAGTAAACTCCACGATAGACTTCCACTTCAGCTGATTTCATTACTTCAGAACTAGAAAAAGTTGAAAACTGAATACTTTTTCTGTAAAATGCCAATGAAATTAGGATAAATATATAGATTAAACTCAACTTAAAAGACACTAAAAAAGAAGGGAAAAAAGAACATGCTCAAATTGAGAAGAGCAGAAAGCACACATTTTCCGAGGGCCCACATCTTCAATATAAGGCTGCTTGGTGAACTGCATTTCTTCTCTTTTCCTCATCATCATCTTGACCACTGCTAACCTCAACCAACTCGTTTGTGGGGAGGTACCTCTACTCTGAAAAGTTGATCACCTGTATATTGTCCTTAGGGTTCAGCCTAAGGATAAGCAGCAATGCAGTTATAATTTTTCAAGGAAACAGTCCAACATCATTGCACCAAAACACTACTTTAAATTGATCAAAGAAGGTTCAATGGATAAAATCGATTGAAAATAAGATTGCATTTACACTGAATTATATTTACTTAATTAATAGAACACTTAGTTTCAAATCTACCAGATACACTAATTGCATAGTCGAATTTCTTCTCCTCAGACTGCTAGCTTCCTTGCCGCTCCACTAATACTTACGCCTTATGTAGCAAGGGCAAAACAAAACGAATTGTATCTGCTGTTCCTACTAGAAATCGATAATGAACCAGAATGGCTTTTATAGTCTTGCAAAGATCAACCGGTATACCTCCTAGCATTACCATTCACTGTCAAAGCGGGCCGCTCACCCCATTTAGGCCCGCGCCCACCGTGGACCTAATTTCTAGCGGGTTTTTGCGGGCCAATCCGCAAGGCCTGCAGGCTAAGGTCCATGCAACCCTAGCATTTTTGTTTTGACTTTTGAAGGTCAAAAGTGCAATCCTTATGCTATGGACCGTGTCCAGTATGCATTGTGGACACGATAACGGTACCGTTAGTGGCACCGTTATCTTTCACTTTTTTTTTTTTTAATTTCAGATCGCTTCGTTATAGGAGTATATGTTCATAATTGTAAATTCATAATGTCAGAGCTATGTGTTCATAATTCATAAATGTACATTCATACTTCCATAATTGTACATTCATAATTCTGTAACTGTACATTCATAATTCAATAACTGTAAATTCATAATTTTCGAAGCTCTATGTTCACAATTTTAGAGCTCTATGTTCATAATTTTATCACTATATGTTCATATTGTAAGTTCATAATGTCAGAGCTCTGTGTTCATAATTCTATAACTGTACATTCATAATTCTATAACTATACATTCATAATTCTCTAACTGTACATTTATAATTCTCTAACTGTACATTCATAATTCCTTAACTGTACTTTCATAATTTTTGAAGCTCTATGTTCACAATTTTAGAGCTCTATGTTCATAATCTTATCACTATATGTTCATAATTGTAAGTTCATAATGTCAGAGCTCTGTGTTCATAATTTCATAACTTACATTCATAATTCTATAACTGTACATTCATAATGCCACAAACGAATAATGTTGTTAACGGTGAGACAAAATCAATTTTTTTAAAAAAACTGGAATGCCGCGTTTTTCCTGTGCACTGGAATGACGCAAAAAACTGGAATGCCGCGTTTTTAAAAGTGGGCAAATTATGTTGTGCATCCGTATGCACCATGCATGGTGCATACGGATGCAAAAACGACGTCGTTTTATTAAAAACGCGCATCTCCCCTTAAAAAAAAAAAATCAGGTTCGATTCTCAACAACATATGAACTAAAATTTCAGAATCGATGAACTATAATTCCAGAATCGATGAACTATAATTCTAGAATCGATGAACTATAATTCCAGAATTTATGAACTAAAATTCCAGAATCTAATCTATGAACTAAAAATTCCATAATGAATGAACTAAATTTTCAGAATCTATGAACTAAAATTTCATAATTGATGAACTAAAATTCCAGAATCGATGAACTATAATTCCAGAATCAATGAACTAAAATTTCATAATCTATGAACTAAAATTCCATAATGAATGAACAACATAATGCTGTTACTGGGAATCGAACCTGAATTTTTTTTTTAAGAGGAGACACGCGTTTTTAATAAAACGACGTCATTTTTGCATCCGTATGCACCATGAATGGTGCATACGGATGCATAGCATAACTACTCTCAAAAGTGGGATACAATCACATTATTGACCCTGGCATCTTGGGCCAACCCGCGGGCTTTTTGTTTTGTTTCATTTTTTTATGAATTCATGTGAAATTAAGTAGATGCAATTGCTGAATTCATGTGAAATGATGTCGTTTTGGACATTTTCGTGTGTCTGTTGTTAACTTTTTAAAAAAATAAAAATTCATATTTCGAATATACAGAATTGTATAATAGAATGTACAGAATTTTATATCTGAAAACACATAATTTTATACCTGAATATACAGAATTTTGTAACTAAAAATTCTCATGTTTCGAATGTACAGAATTACGGAGTACATAATAGAATGCACCAAATTTTATAACTAAATACACATAATCTTTTTTAAAAAGATAAAACTCTCATATTTCGAATGTACATAATTGTATAAAAGAATGCACACAATTTTATACCTGAAAACACAGAATTTTATAACTAAATACACATACATTTTCGTCGTGTTAATTCCCCACGCAACTTAACAAAACGAAGCGCGGGACGCACAGTGCTATGTGTGGTATAATGATTGAACAATAATTCCCCTTGTAAAAACTCCGCTGGTTTACCAAATAATCAATAATTAATCCGGTTTTGAGCCACAAAAACAAGACAAGAGATAATCCCAAATCATGAAAATGCTAAAAGGGTGAGAAAATATGAATTGGAGACTTGGAGCTTCAGGTCAGTGGGACTGGTCGCGTAGAGTACTGGCGTGGTCCGCGACGGACTAGAGCGTGCGACGGTGGATCTCTCTCATCTTCCTTTAGCAACGTCAGTTTCGGCTGGTATTTCAGTCCGAGTAGAGCGCAAAGAGGAAGAGAGCGCCGTGAGGTCGCCGATCGGCTATGCGATGTAGGGATGGCAACGGGGCGGGGCGAGGGCGGGGACTATACTCCCCGTCCCCGTCCCATATCCGCCGGGGAATTTTAAAAATTCTCTGTCCCCGTCCTCGATCCCCGAAATTTTTCCCCGTCCTCGTCCCAATCCCCTACGGGGGCGCGATCCCCGACGGGAACGGGGCACATTGCCATCCCTAATGCGATGGAAGAAAGATGCGACTCTGGAAAACGCAATCTTCCTTGTACGCTGCTTGGTTTAATCTTTTATTTACCAATTTTATTTTTTTGCTTATATAATATTACATATTAATCCATACTTCTATACTATTAATAAAAATAAAATCTTCCTTATTAAATTTTCGGCTTATAAATATTAATAAAGCTTAATTGATTAACAAATTAATAAAACTTAATTGTTAACAAAAATTACATATGAAAATTAACTAATATCTAATAAATTGACACCGCAAATTAAAGTCAATATGTTACGATTTAATAATTAAAATATTATCAATTTCATACTTAAGAAGTGAAAATGGAAAAGAATCAATAATATAAAAAATTTAGAGTTAATTCCCAAAATGATCCTCCAACTATGGTATTTTCTCAAATTGGTTCCTTAACTTTTAATTGCACTCAAAGTGATCCTTCGGTTATTGAATTTTAAGCCAAAACGTCCTCCGTTAGTTTTGGTGTTAAGTGGGTGCTAAAATGAGGGGTAAAATTGATAATTTAGGGTTTTCACTATAGTCAAATGACTACTTTGGGTGTAATTAAAAGTCAAATGACCAATTTGAAAAAAGACCATAATCAGATAACCATTTTAGAAATTTTCTCTTTATAATTCAAACATGATTTGTACTCATTTTTATTAAAAGGGATTAATCTTGTACTTATTATTATTATTTTTCTTTTTGGGATCTTGTACTTATTTTCATTTTCTAAATAAACAATCTTTTTACTTTAATTTTTAGCTAGAAAATTATTTTTTAAAAACATAACTTAGAATAATAATTTTGATTATTAGCCTAGTACTTATATATAGTTGTACAAACTAACATTAACTTTAGATTAACTCTTTAGTATTCAGAAATGCTTGACATTATGTATTTGGATTTTGATTTTCTATGATTAGACATGACAAAACTATTGTGAAAAATTACAACCAAATGGACAACAGACATAAACCGTTGCTTATTTAAAAAAAAAAAAAAAAAACAGTTAAATACAAACGGATAAGAAAGATTTAAAAAAAAAAATCATTGTCGATTACAAAAATGTTGGTCAGTGAAGGTGATTTTTAAAAAAAAAAAAAAAAAATTCAAAACGTGATAAAAGAATATTTTTAATAAAATATGAAATTGTTAGAATAAATTATATATCATCGCTATTAATATCATATTCATAAATACTTTTTAATTTAATTAGTTTTAATATAATAATACACAATTGAAACTTTTACATTATATTAACTAAATAGTTCATAAAAATAAATTATCTTTTAAAATATTAACTAGATAGTTCAAATTAGTCCTTTAACTTTTAATTGCACCCAAAGTAGTCTTCTGACTATAGTAAAATATTGAATTACCAGTTTTACCCCTCATTTAAACACCCACTTAACACCAAAACTAACAGAGGAACATTTTAACTTAAAATTCAGTAGTCGGAGGACCACTTTGGGTGTAATTAAAAGTCAAGAAACCAATTAGGGAAAAGGTCATAGTCGGAAGACCATTTTGGGAATTAACTCAAAAAATTTATAAGGAAGATTGTGCGAAAATAATTGAAACAAATGGGATATTAATAATTTATTAATTTATTAATAAAGCTAGAATCTCATTTTTATTTGCATAAAGATGGGAGATTCCTTTTCCAATTTATTTACGTAAAGATGGATTCATTAATTTATTTGTGTAAATATGAATTCCTTTTCCTATTTATACACTTCATTATATTTGCGCACAACTGTAAACTTCCAACGAACTTCTGCACTTGTAGACCCCTTTTACACCAAATACGCATGGCTTCAACTTCAATCGACACTGTTGGACGTGAAATTTCTCCGACGAACAGAAGGAATGCGATAAAGGTTAGAGTGATGCGTACCTATTTTTCATAGTCGTTTTTCATTATGTAATAGTTCAGTTGGTTCAGATATATTCTCCTATGGAAAAATTGGTGGCGGAAAACCTTCAAGATTGATTGATTTTTTCATAGAAGATAAAAAGTGAGACTATATTACTCTATTATTTTACTGATTTGTTATCTCACATTAGTAAGTAAATATTTATTTTGTGATCTTTTAATAATCTTAATAAATACGGGCGAACATTTGAGATGTACAGTCTGGGATGATCACGTCTCAAAAATTGAGCTGTGGTTTAATAGGAACTTTAATGGTCCTGTGATTATTCTGATGCAGTTATGTCGAGCGAAGTACGACTTAAACAGTTAGTATATATATTCTTTAGGCTTAAAGGTTATTATATATACCATTGCATTGTAATATAAATTTAAAAATGTTGTCTTTTTATAATGATGATATTGTACAGCCGGAGGTATTAACCCATCCAGTTTATATGATGGACGGAGTCAGAAATTATGTTGAGGG